ATCTGAAGGCCACTCAACTGGAGTTGCTCTTCTAGACATAGAAAAAGCATTCGACAGTGTTTGGCATGAAGGTTTGATTGCTAAATTGAAAAAGTTTAATTTTCCACTTTATATTATGAAATTAGTTCAAAATTATTTAACTGACAGAACTCTGCAGGTAAATTATCAAAATTCCAAATCTAATCGACTATCTGTCAGAGCAGGAGTTCCTCAGGGTAGCATTCTTGGGCCTATATTGTATAATATTTTCACTTCGGACCTTCCTGATTTGCCTCAGGGTTGCCACAAATCTTTGTTCGCTGATGACACAGGCATTTCGCTAAAGGAAGAAGTCTTCGTGTTATTTGCAGCAGACTGCAGAAAAGTTTAGATATTTTCTCTTCTTATTTACAAAAATGGAAGATTTCTCCCAACGCTTCCAAAACTCAACTTATAATATTTCCACATAAGCCTAGAGCTTCCTTTTTGAAACCTAGTAGTAGTCACATAGTCACTATGAACGGAGTTCCAATTTCCTGGTCAAACCAAGTGAAATATCTTGGATTAATACTTGACCAAAAATTAACTTTTAAAGATCACATTGAGGGTATTCAAGCCAAATGTAACAAATATATAAAATGTTTGTATCCTCTTATAAACAGGAAATCCAAACTTTGCCTGACGAATAAACTTCTAATATTTAAACAAATTTTTAGACCGGCCATGCTTTACGCTGTGCCAATATGGTCTTGTTGTTGCACTACCAGGAAAAAAGCACTTCAAAGGATTCAGAACAAAGTTCTGAAAATGATTTTGAAGTTGCCTCCCTGGTACAGTACTACCGAGGTACATAGAATTTCGAATGTTGAGACTTTAGAACAAATGTCCAACAAAATAATTAATAATTTCAGGCAAAAATCGTTGCAATCCTCTTAGATAAGATTTATACCTTTATACTTAGATAAGATTTAGTTTTAGTTTTTAGTTTTAAGATATCAATTGTTATACTGACATGCAGGTTTAAAAACCTGTTTAAAATACTGAATTGCCAAGACAGGAATAATGTAAAAACACTTAGGTATATATCATAACAATTAAGGCTGGTAAGTTACTGTAGTAACTGGAGCACCTAGGTTAAAATGAAATGTAATTTATTTTGAATTTGAAACAAATAAAGAGTTAAAAAAAAGATGAATACTTGAGAGGGCTACCAAACAAAGTAACCATATAATCACAAAATAACTTTAAATGTAGGTTCAGAGTGAGACAATGTCACTGAGAAACGATATGGTTAGTTGGGTATTCAGATGAAACTATTACTTTAAAAAACTAATCCTGGTTGTGTCTCTTTTTCGATTGCATGTAACACTATTTGATATTACTAACCGCACCGAGCGTTCATTCCGGGTGCTGAGCGAACCTGAAGAAGATGAAGACGACTATACAGGATGAGTGGTACTATAGAGCCCCTTCTCGGAACGAGTATATTGTTAATGGACCTGGTCTACCTGGTTTAAAAGGTAAAGTAGCTAGCACCATCTTCATCGAAATGTAAGTATTATTGTCAATAATCATAACAATCGGCTTGCATAAGTGATGATTCATTATATAACATATACATAAACATTTAAATACAAAAACAAAAAGGGATAGGAGGGTTCACCAGGGCACCCGATTGAAGCAATTTGGACGTGGAGAGTGGGAATGCCAACTCCCTGTTGATAACATTTCGTGGATTAAGGGTGATAACGGCGCCGGTGGTGTAGTGGTAAGCGTGATTACCTCTCACCCCAGCAGGCCTGGGTTCAATCCCAGTCGGCGCCGCCGGGATGTTCTGAGGCATAACATCTCTGATCACGTCTTCCTTCGGATGGGAAGTAAAGCCGTTGGTCCCCGGTTCATGAGTTGATGGGTCGATAGGTAGGGTCCAGGTGTGGGAGCTGCCTTCCTGGCACGTCGGTAGCATTGGTGCTCAGCACGGAAAACAAGATTGACGGAAAAAACAAACCAAAGGAAAAAAAAAAAGGATTATGGGTGGGCCCTTGTCCCCACTCATTGGGCCATCTTCCTGTTTGGTGTCTTGTCTTTTTGACCAATTGTACGATCATGTTGCTGGAAAGAGATTCATTACTGTCCCGTAGATGATTATAGGCGACGTTGCCTATCGATCCACCCAATCCGTGTTTAGCCCATTATACAGCGACGATCAACCTTAATAACCTCTGATTGTCCTCAAAATCAGAGGTTATTAAGGTTGATCAAGGCAAGCAGAGAAGAGAGTCCACTGCTATCGGACTTAGTTTCCGTGCTACAATGGGTGGTAAACCACTATCATGCATCATGCATGTGACGATTGTTTTCGGTTTACTGACTTTTTCAGCTGTTTGAAATCCCAGTAAAAAATTACTGACCTTAGTGAAATAATAAATGGGTGATGGGTATTTTCTTGTGTGTTTAAGGAGAATCCCATGATTAATCTGAGTAGAGTAATTATGGATAAAAATGTTTGTTGATTTTAAATAGGTTAATATTGAAACATTTGAAAGGTAACATGGCTCAGAGATCATGGCGATTTCAGAAAACAATAATCACAAACTTTTTAATAAGATGATGAATAAAAAACACATCATCAGTTTTAATAAACTTGTAATTAACTCTGATTTATGATGGTTTTATAACGGCAATGAAAAATCCATTGAGTATAAATATAGCATTTCAAAGTGTAAAACATTCCTGCTTAGTAATTCAGCTTTTTGCTATTTTAAAAACCTTTTATAGTCTGGCAAGAAAGTCAAAAACTGTTTTGTTTTGAAAATAAATTTAAAGCAGTTCTCAATCCCTTCTTAAAACTGCTCTGTAATTCAAGCATAAAAGTCATTATCAATTGTTTATTAGTGTTTTGATAAAATACTTTATAAACGGGTTCTATCATTATAAAAGCAACCATAAACGCATTAGGTTTTGCATTAGAGCAAAAAGCATTTATTATTGCTTTTTAGGCTTTTTAAAGTGCATCATAAACTCCTCAATTACTCTGTTTACAAATTGAGCTTAAAAGATGGTTCCCCATAGTTAATAAAAGCCAAATTTATGACAAGGAAATCTCGAAGGATAGACGAAGTAGGATGAAAAATTCAAGTCGATTTCAGCAAAATTTACTTCTTTAGAAGAACCAGCACACCATCAACGACTGACCATCTGACGGAGAAAAGTAAAGTGAGCGGGCCCTCGAATTTATAAAACATTGTCGAAAGTTGAAAAACATACCAGCCAGATCCAGAACATCCAGATCTTACGAATAATTGACAATCGAAATAACAACCGATAGCAAACCACTGAAACTGTTAGTTAGGATAGAATAGCTGGTTTCCGATCCATAGCAGCGATTTTATTTGGCGAAAGAACCAACTCTTCGAAAATTTCATTCAAGCGTACATCCCTGCATCGTTGGATGGTGCACTTCTGTAACCATCCGGAAGAAGGGGATCTTTTTCGGGAACGATTGCGCTTCCAGCTGTTCGAAATGCGAAATGTTGCAAAACAGTATCGCAAACTATCTGAGTAACTGCTCCCAATCCATCGGTAGAAAAGCGCAAAATGGCTTTAGATAAATACAATTCAGCCTGCAAGTTTTCTTCACAAAAGCCATTATAAAACCTTATGTATTTGTTAAGGATTTCTTGAAAGCAAAACAACTTTTTCACAAATGACCCATGAAAATTAGCTTTTATGCCACCGCCATGTTGCAATTAATTTGCTTTTTTTTAACAATCTTCGATTTTCAATCTATAGTTCCTTGGATGTAACGATATTTTGGTAAATTTAGCAATGAGCAAACGTTTAAATGCTAAAATCATAAAAAAAATCTCGGTCTAGCAGGATTTGAAGAATTTTTTTTTCACTGTAAAATAATTAGTCAAATCGACGTTTTACGAGGGTGGACTTATTTTTTTCGATGTTTTCACGAACATTTAATAAGGCACTTAAAAGTAGACCACTTAATGAGAACTATTGTAATGAATTTGGATATTCAACAAGATTTTTATACCATCAGTTTCTATTTTAATTATTTTGATAAGATCGGATTCATAAATACTTTTCTATCTTGATTGATGCGTTCCTAGTGGATTTAGCAAGTAGCTAGGGGAAATGGCTTGGAAAGAGTTTTTATTGTTGCTAAATAGCTTTTGTTGTAGCTTTCAAATGGTTCTCAATACGTTCGTCATACAACCTTTTGCAGTAAATCAATCTTGAACAGCTTCGAGAATACACCCTTCAGTACCTTCTCCAGGGTGGGCCAACTAGACATATTCTAGTCTTAATGAGGTTTTGGTGGATGCATTAATGACAAAATAGCCTTGACCAGAGTTTTATGAATGCTGTTTCATAGTTGCTTAGTAGTATTTCATAAAACTTAAAATGTTTCTTGGGATAGAAGCTAAAAATTCGAAAAAATTAATTTAATTAATCATAAATTAAGGTGTATTGATTATTCCGGGTTCTCCGGTCGAGTCCCCAGTTTTCCCAGTTGTGGATAGTTCCTGGTTTGCTGGCCACCCTACTAAAACAACTGCTAATTTTTGTCACATTTGGCCTAATGTTAATTGACCTAATGAACTCGTTTATCTAAATGTGCTCCCTGAATGAAAAAGCAAGAAAATCTATGCTCTAAACGATAGCAACAGCCACTGTATATTTCATTCTTAAAAAAAAAAGAAATGGCAAAACCCTAAAAGAGCTGAATATATTTCCGAACATTGAACTTAATCTATATATGCCACAATCAGAAGTCAGTTTTGATGCTTCTCTAATATGGCAATAACTCAGTAATTAAGAAAAGACATATTAACTTGGTTTTTTAAACATTTGAAAATGCTTACTTTGTATTAAGCCACCATTGAATCTTTTTCTTCCTAAAATGCGTTTTAATTGCCGAACATTCAGCAAATGTAACACCCAAGACGATCGATTTGAATAGTGCAATTCAGCATAAATCAATCCAAGTATATCATCGCACTCACCTGGACCGGGCAACAGCAGGATGGTCAGGATCAGCGCCAGCAACGCCTGGACACATCCCCAGGATGTATCGCTATTCCAGAGATGCTTGTTCATGGCAGAGCTACACGAGTCGCGGCTGCCTCAGCCGGTCGGGCTCCTTACGATAGAAATCCTTCACGTAGAGCACCATCACAGTTCAACCGCGCCAGGGCAGGGCAGGGGATTCTCGCTGACCCACACACCGGTCGAACGCACGGCAGCGGCCACCCACCAAACAGAAGTAGGAATCACCAATCACCCCGATTCGCGGTTTATTAAAGATTGCAATTATGGTTTAGATTTGCTAGAACACCAAGAAGAACCCAATCTTCTGCACCGATTCCGAGCTCCAATCACTTTGCACTTTATCGCACTGCGCTCGTTCGAAAACTCCGGAACAGACTGTTTGTCTTCACTTCCCACAGTTTGAGTGTAAATTGTAATGCACTGAAAGCGTACAACACCGATAGGTAGATAGTTGCGAATGATGGCTTATATCCTACTAACACCAAACTGCGTCAAACTTTAGCTAACTAAGCACTGGCTATGAACACTAGGTTTAGCGAAAAACGGTCGTTGCTCCTGTTCCTCGCAGAAAAACTGTCACTCGTTGGGAGGTTGGAGAAAGAAACACTTATTCAATTATCAATTCGCACTGAAAAATTTCCTCTAATTGAACAAACAGAAAAACACTCAAAAATCAAGTTTATTCTTATATAATTAACGTCCCACTGCGGTACAGAAACTGATTCTTCGTACTGTTTTTTCCTCGCCTCTCCTTTCGCTTTTTTATGTACACACGGCAACTACAGAACACGGGGACTAAAAGAAATAACAAGAGTCTATATAACGTGGATGTAGGAAAAAACTTTGCACAACTACACACGTAAATTGATTTTCCTTTTGCTTTCGATCGGATTTTCCGTCTCCAAAAAATTTGCTCGCAACACCAACTGGGGTAAAAGTGCCCGATTACCTAATTGTTCTACACACCAGCCGGACTTGAAACTTTTGAAGAATTCTGATTCCCGAAACGCAAACTTGCTTCCTGGATCCGTGATCTCTGAGGAGTGTTCGCACGCGGTTCAGCAGTAGCCAACTACTAATGAGCAACCAACACCAGAGGCCAACGACGGGTGCAACCGGCGAAAAGACGATCCTTCCTTCCTGGTGGTTCCGTTCGGTGTGAGTGATTCCTCTCGTGGGGCCGCCGGATTTTCCTCTCCGTGTGCTGTGGGCCAAGAAAATCCGTGTTCGTTCTCAGCGCGTTTTCCCGAGCGGGTTCTCTTGCCGAAATGGGACTCTCGCACTCTCACGGGCGCTCCTGCCTACCATCTACTCATGTGACTCACTACTGCCGATAGTTGTCTGTTGGTCGGCCACGGTAGGCCTGTGCTGTGCGCTCTTCCTTCCGAGCCTCCACTGCTTTCTGCGATGCGGTTCGTGGCCACTTCTGTTCAACACACCGCCCCGTGTCGACTTGCGACGTTCTGCTGGTGGTTCTGCTGCTTCTATTTTATCGCTACGGTTCAAGCCAAAACGAAGAAAAATTCTGCAAACACACACACGCTCCTCGGTTCGCGGCTACTCTCTGGTGTACCGTTCACGCGGAAGAAGGAATTTTCACTTTCCTCCCGCCGCAGTCACTGCTGTCTTGTCTAGATTTTAATTGAATTAAACCTTTCACGTCCCGTACTGTTTTGCCACTGCTACTGCTGGGCAAACGCCTTTGGCCAGGCAGGATTCTCTCGCACTCGAACAGCGACAGCGACGACGTAGACTACCGACGGCGGCCTAGGTCAATCCATTTAACCCATTTTCCATTGCGGGGTAACACTCTTCTCTCATTGACAACATCGATGCCTGACTGCTGCTGCTGCTGCTGCTGCTACTGCTACTGTCGACTACGTAGGTATTCACGGGGACGTTGACGTTGTCGGTATGAATCGACACGACGGCGCTGGTGGCTCGAGACGGCAGGACACTCTATGACAACGCATCCGCAAAAAACGAGTCCCCGTGCTCGCCACTCTGCTGCAGTGGGTGATTCCACTTTTGGGGAGGACAACTTCCCAACCTGTTTTCCTGTTTTGCTTCGGTTCTCGGGTTATGAGGTGCCTCTCAGCTGTGTGTTGTCCGCCAATAAAAAAAATCTTTTCCAACCAGGAGAGTATGCCCGGTTTGCGAAGAGAAAAATCAATTAAATCAGATGTCGCAATTTCCCACACGCATAACTCGGTCGTGTGACTTCCTTGGAGGCACGTCCCGTACAAACCAATACCACAACTACTGCTTTACATAATCCTCACCGCACAGGATATATTTTCTCACATCGAAGAAAAAAAAACGTCCTTCGCCACAATCCGATCTTCTCCACTGAACCAAACACATCCAAATCAAATCCTTCCGCAATTATAAACACCTATCAAACTCAGCTAAAACGAAACGTGTTCTGACACTGCACCGCAAAATTCGCCTGCATCACACAGCCCGGGATGCCCAATCCCGAAAAAAAATCAGAAAACTCACTATCCTTCTTCCTTGCAAACGTTTTCACGAATTCTTCACGAAAAACTGTGTGACTGACACTTTCCACACACGGTTCCAGATATCACTCAAGAAAATCCAGATTTCAAAAAAACACACAACAATCCTCAAACTCGGAGTTGCTCCCGGAGAACACCGTTTGAACTTGACGAGTTTAGCTTTGCGACTGACAGTAAAATTCGATATCGAACCGAGAAGAAACCCCGAGCGACGACGATAATGCCTATGCCTATACTCCAAAAGTCTACACACACCGCTAAAACCTTCATCATGCAAGAGCCGACACGGACGGATCCACGGTCCTGCCTGGCATATGTATGGCCACCTATAGTAGCTCAGCGAGCCAGTAGCGGAAAAGGAGACGATTAGGAGCAATCAACGGACAAACGGGGTTCTCTCGCAACATGCATGGTTCCGAGCATGGCGTTTTCGAGAGCGCGCTGAGAGAATGCCTATCAGCAACGGTGGAAAAAAAACGGAGGAAACCGTCGTCGTTGAAGGAGAGCACCGCGTGGTTGAATGTGAAACATGGCCCCGTTAATGTTGCATCATACGATGATGTGGTCTTGGTATGGGACGACGGACGACGGCTCGCGCGAATATGCTGAGCTGCTTCTGATGTCGATATGTTCATCGGCGCGGCGCGGTGGGAGAAAGTAGGATGCATGCGATAAAATGTCTCTGAGGTTGTGGCGTGACATGAGAGATGGACCTTGCATAGAGCCTGCTGTGACAACCGGAGCTAATGCTGAAACTTGCGTGCAAGTTTTATCAGACGGCTATTCGCGGGTCGCGAATAGTTTGGTGTCAGCAAGGGCCGACTTCTTCACCTGTGCTAAATGCTTGAACCAGGGTAAACCTGGTTTTAAATTTATGGACAAGGAAATGTGATTATCAGAAATATTAACCTTGAAAACTTCATGAGGTTTTGGACATCAAGATCATCAATTAGCTAATCTAACGTCAACACAGCAAGTTCTTGAAAGTATCCTGGAAAATGATTGATATACCTCCATCATCTTTCTTGTCTGTTTGATTTATGCTTCACATCGAAGATGCGTCACACATACCAAAAGGGCCAGGCCTAATGTGCAGCATTTAAGGGGCAAGATGAATAAAAAAATATCGGGTCTGTTTAAATCGAAGATTTAAACACGATACTTCTAAATCCAAACAAATGGATGAAACGTGGACATCTAGTACCGTACGTTCCGTTTTTGGTAACTATATGATCGGTTCGTCGTTGGAAGCATCAAAGCTAGAAATGTTGAGTGGTGCTCCATTTTCCTCTGACGGTTCAGGCATGAGCACTAACTCTTGTCATAGCCTACCATTACTCGCTTTCTGAAAAGTAGAAAGAGAAAAGAAAAGAAAAGAAAATAAGAAGGACAAAGGGAAAGGATTATATATACTCTATGAACATACGGTCAATTTGCTCCCGGATTACGGTTTCAAATTAAATCAATCGACTTGTTTTGCACCTATCTTCTTAAAAATGTTAAATAATCAGCTTTTGAAAACATTTTTTTGTAACAGTTGAAATTTAATAACAATGTATCCTGATGAATGTGGGCGTCTTAGTGGAATACCTGTATAATGAGAAAGAGAAGGATTAGTAATAATAGTCGAGTATTAGTACAAGACACTGAAGAAGTCTGCGTATTGTAGACGAAATACGCGTATCTATCAAGGATAAGCAAATAAAGTAGTGGAATTAAATGGAAATTTATTAACCCTTCTCTCTCTCTCATTATAATATCAATGTTTTCTAGTATTCCAAAACTATGAAAATAACGGTCATAATATTTGTTTTGAAATAGATTGGACTAGAAATTGAGCACCGCTTGGACTGTTGAAAGTGTAGCAACAATATTTGATGTGATTAGCTTCATAGCAGCATATTCAGCCAAAAATACATATGTACTAAGCTTTAAATTGGCAACCTTGCTCTTAACCTTCATTGGGTGTTAACTTTTTGGTGACGTATAACGTGTCAAACAGTACACGGCAGTGCTGTCTTGGTAAATTGAGAGCTGGTTACCCGCTGAATTTTCATTTGTGTGCCTCCGACATTGGGTGCGGTAATGCGCCCCTTTCACGAAAGTCCACAATTGTAAAGGAGGAACGTATAAATACATGTAAGCACTATTAAGTTGCTTTTAATGAACACTGACGTATAGGTTATTTTGTTTTTAATTAACTTGCCATAAAAATTAAAAATACTTACAGGGAAAAGAGTAATTCATACAATGATGATGACGATGATGGTCCCACCTCTTACCCCTACAAAGGTTTGAGCTGGACGATTTATCTTTAAGATAATTAAATATGACATTTTAACCAGGTTGGCAAACAAAATCGAACTGGTTTCCGTTACAGATATAAATTCCCTCTAGAGTTTACAGTTGCTTCACAGCGATATAAATGTGGAAAAGCTCAGGCGTCCACCTCTTAGTTCGCCTTTTTGTCCTCCTAAAATATTCATAAGTATTACAAACAATCAACAGTTAGTGAACAATCAACAAAGCATCCGATTACACTAGCAACCCCGCAATCTGATGCTATCATAATTTTCAGCAATGTCAGGAATGCTCTCGAACCCCTAACATTTGCCAGAAAGCTTACTACTAACTCAAGGTATCTTCCAAATACGCCTTAAAATTGCTTTACTTTTTTTTTTAATTAATCTACTATTAAATCAAATATTAAAATTCCATCACCACCATCGTGGCGAACAGAAATAGTTTTTGCAGTGCTACAATAATTATTAAAAAAAAGTCGTTATGACAGCTATCCATATAAAATAATCCGTTAGAGATAACTTCGTCAAGATACATAATTTGTCAAATCACTGGATAACTGTTCAAAAGACAGTTTTAACGTGTGAAATGCAGTGTCTGTTAAATTCTGTAAGTGTCGCTGAACGTTTGATATGTCTAGGCATCGAATTGAAAACATTTATTACTTTATAATATAATTAATTTTGTGAAGCACAAGTCAAGAAATGTGGTGTTCTTATTTCAACCGCGTTTCTAGTATTATATCTATGGAAATCACTTCCTCTTTCAATTCGATCACACAAATATCGAGGCAGCAAACCGTTAACTACTTGAAAAATGAACACCATAGTCAAATATACAATTCTTTGCTTCACCGACAACCATTGTAAGGCGTCTAGCATCAAAGTTGAGGAAGTGAATCTATTACATCTCAAAATCAACCGCATTGTTTTATGCTGCAAGCGCTGTAATCTCGATATTTGTGTTGCATTGGCCAGAAATAAAATGGAAGGGCAAAAGTCAAGATGAGGAGAGATGATTAATTTGTATAGCTGTATTTTACTGGCAATAACTAAATCGTTTTTCAGTCGACATAGAATTCCATATATCTTGGAAATTTTCTTGATGACATTGTCAATGTGAGAGTTGAACTTAAGTGTGTCATCAATAATCACGCCAAGATATTTAATCTCCCGAACGCGATCAATAGTCTCCTCATCAATTACAACAGGGACGTTCTCATTTACTCGATTCCGCGAAATTAGCTTAAAATTAGTTTTACTTGAATTCAATTTCAACTGCTTATACTTCAACCATCTACTTAGAGAACGCAAATCTTCATTCAGGTGTAAAACGGCATCATCTAAATCCTTAGCTGCAATGAATAACACAGTATCATCTGCAAAAAGATTAATGTCGCAAAATCATAAAACACGTCACAAGTCATTAATATACATAATAAATAACAGGGGCCCTAATACACTTCCCTGGGGCACTCCAAGGTTATTCCCCACGGGACTGGAAACAGAATCATTAAAAACAGTCCGTTGAGTTCTGTCAGACAAATAGCTTTCAAACCATGTAAATGCAGTACTCGTAATTCCAAAGCGCGTGATTGATCTTAACAATAAGAGCCTGAAAATTGTTTCAAAAGCGCGTTTAAGATCAAAAAACAGCAACAATCGTATCTTTACACTCCAAGTTATTTTTCCACTTCGCTAATACCAAATTCAACGCGATCTCACAAGAATGACCTTCCCAATATCCTGATTGTTCTGGTATCAACAAACTATTACTATTTAAATACTCCAACAGCTGGCCTTTAACAACAAGTTCTAAAATTTTCTCTAATGTGTGCAACGAAACTCTTCGGCTTTAATCGTTCCAGCAACTTTTTGAATAGGAACCACTAAGGATTCCGCCAAATTTGTGGCACATGTCCAGTTTGCAATGATTCATTAATGAGGTCCAGCAAGATGTGGCAAATGACATGAAAGCAATCTTGAATAACTCTAGCATTAACATTGTCTACTCCAGCCGATTTTCCTAATGAAAACAAATAACTCTTAGTTGTATAATTGGGTGAAACTAGGTTTAAATAAAGATTTCAAAATTGTCCATAACTCTTTGCTGTTGTTTTGATGCTGATCAATCTTCCTTTGAACATATTCACAACGAGTTTTCTTTATCGATTGTGAATACTTATTACGCACGATTGTGTACCTATTCCAATGATTGTCATTATTTGATCTACAACACTTTTTGTACCATTTGTCCCTTTTCCGTTTAAGACGCAAAAGATCCAAATTGTACCAGCTGTTCGAGTTCTTCAAAGAAACAAACTTTTGCTCAACTAGTTGTTTAGTACACGTTTTCGAAACGTTATTAAGAACAGCTGTAGATTCAAGTTCTACTGTGCCTGGAAATACCCGTCATTTACCGTATATTCATTTTTTTTTTTTTTTTTCATTAAAAAACTCAGCTAAACGCTTCAAATGATTCGAATTATGGTTATCGCGCCAATTAATATTAATATATTTAATTTATATTATTATTTATATATTTATATTTATATATTTAATTTACTAGAATCAAGGAATGTCTCAAGCCAGTTCTCTAAAACTTCAACAAAATGCTGGTCACTCTGCACAATCCAAACAATTGCTAGCTTTAGATTGTTGAGACTTAAAAACCAGATTCTAACCTTGACAACCATTGTTATATCCCGACATGGTTGTTTTACGGGGCCAGATTGTTCTTAAACCCCTTATACGTCACATCAAATCACATGCCCATTGGAGACAATTTTCCCAAAAATTTTTGGAACTTCTCTAGGGTTCCCAATATCTTCCATATATTTATTGATTGGAATTA